CCGAACAATTGGACCGAGCTGGGAGATATATTTGAGGCCAAATTGATGGCTTGGGCACGCCTCGCTCCGCTAATGTCCTTCAGGGGGCGAGTGCTCGTAGGAAGTAACCTGGCAGCCTCTGTGCTGTGGCACAGGGCCAAAGTCCTCCAGCCCCCTGACTGGCTACTTGCGAGGACAAACCGGTCACTCACCCACTTTGTGTGGCACGGCAAGCACTGGCTGAGGCCGGGGGTCCTCTGCCTGCCGGTGGGTGAGGGCGGCCAGGGCCTGGTGGAAGTCTCCGCCCGGGTGATGAGCTTCAGGCTTCAGGCGGTGAGGCGTCTGCTGTATGAACAGGAGGAGCTGCCCTGGACGTCGCCGGCCCTCAGCCTGCTGAGAGGCGCGGGGGGGTGCCTGGGGTACGGGAGGGAGCTCCTCTTCCTGTTGGACCTGGCCCTGGTCGACTACACGAGGCTGCCAGGGTATTATCGCAGCCTCTTGGACGCGTGGCGGAGCCTCCAATGGAGCAGGGCATGCCCGCACTGCGCCCTCAAACATTTCACGCACGAACCCCTCCTCCGTAATAGCCTCTTCAAAGGAATCGGGGAGGAGAGGACGCTGGCCCTCCGTTTCACCTCGGCAGGGGTGCGGACGGTCGGCGACCTCGTCGAAGAGCCACGGCCGCCACCCCGAGCGGAAGACCGCGGCCGAGATCAGCGGCACCGCGGGGCTCCGCTCGATGCTCGCCGGAGAGAAGCTGTCGCAACGCGGGGGCTGCGGCTGAAGCTGGAGGCACCTGAAAACAGCGGCGCCGCACGACCATCCTCCTCCTCCTCCTCCCCGGAGCTGCGCATCTCCTGCACCCAGCCTCCCGGGCGCTGTGACTCAGGGAAGCTGCTCAAACTCGCAGACTGCAGAGACGTGGCCCTCGAGAGCGCCCCCAAGAAAGCGCTGTACGTGCGCCGCGTCAAGGCGCCCCGTTGTCAAGCCCCGGCAAACCTCCCGGACACGAAATGGAGGGACTTTTTCTCTCCACTAATCGAGGCCACCCCTCCCAGTGGAAGCACCTGTAGAAGCCCCCCGTAGCGAAACGCTGCGGGGACCTCCCGTGGAGGTTGGCGCGCTGGACGCTACCCTCGGCCGTGTGGCTCAGCAAAATCACCCCAGGGTCATCAGATCTGTGCGCGTTCTGCGGTGCGAAGGAGGATCTGGCCCACCGGTACTCGGGGTGTCCACGGCTGAACCCAAAGTTCCGGCTCTTGGGATCCATTCTCAGCAAACTGGGCGTGCCCTTTCACAAGAGCTGGGTCATCTACGGGGGGTGCCTTACCTGCCGGATAATCGCCACGATCTCGCGAACTTTCTCTGCGCCCAAGCAAAGATGGCAGTCTACAAAACGCGGAAGAAGAAGCTGAAGAAGCTGAAGAAGAAGCCGCAAGGCGACGGGGACGATGGCTGCTCAGCGGCGGCGACGTTGAGGGGCTGCTCGAGGTGCGGCTCCGTCTGGAGCACGAGGCTCCGTCTGGGGCACGAGGCTCCATCTGGGGCACGAGGCTCCGTCTGGGGCACGAGGCTCCGTCTGGGGCACGAGGCTCCGTCTGGGGCACGAGGCTCCGTCTGGGGCACGAGGCTCCGTCTGGAGCACGAGGCTCCGTCTGGGGCACGAGGCTCCGTCTGGGGCACGAGGCTCCGTCTGGGGCACGAGGCTCCGTCTGGGGCACGAGGCTCCGTCTGGGGCACGAGGCTCCGTCTGGAGCACGAGGCTCCGTCTGGAGCACGAGGCTCCGTCTGGAGCACGAGGCTCCGTCTGGAGCACGAGGCTCCGTCTGGAGCCCGTCTCGTCCCGCTGCTATGCCGGGGACTCGCGCCGCGTTCCTTCAACGGTGGCGGCCGGCCAGGCCCTCTGCACCGACACAAACGGTGCACCGGCGTTCGCGTTTTGACCGGTCGACCGAAAGTTTGCGACGTGCGTGACGACGCGGTGCTCGCGGTGCTCATGGCGGTGTGGTGCACGTGGCGGTGTGGTGCACGTGGCGGTGTGGCGGTGTGGCGGTGTGGTGCACGTGCCACGGTTGTGCAATGCGACGTGGCGGTGACCCCGTAGCGAAAGTGGCTCCAGAGCTGTGGCTGCTGGCAGCAATAAAATTGGTTTATAAGTCAAAGTCTTATCTCTCTCTCTCTTAACTCTCTCTTAACTCTCTCTTAACTCTCTCTTAACTCTCTCCCTCTCTTAACTCTCTCTTAACTCTCTCTTAACTCTCTCTCTTAACTCTCTCTCTTAACTCTCTCTTAACTCTTAACTCTCTCCCTCTCTTAACTCTCTCTTAACTCTCTCTTAACTCTCTCCCTCTCTTAACTCTCTCTCTTAACTCTCTCTTAACTCTCTCTTAACTCTCTCTTAACTCTCTGTTAACTCTCTCTTAACTCTCCCTTAACTCTCTCTTAACTCTCTCTTAACTCTCTCTTAACTCTCTCTTAACTCTCTCTCTTAACTCTCTCTTAACTCTTTCTTAACTCTCTCTTAACTCTCTCTCACCTCTCCCTTAACTGTCCCTTAACTCTCCATTAACTCTCTCTTAACTCTCTCTTAACTCTCTCCCTCTCTTAACTCTCTCTCTTAACTCTCTCTTAACTCTCCCTTAACTCTCTCTTAACTCTCTCTTAACTCTCTCTTAACTCTCTTAACTCTCTCTTAACTCTCTCTTAACTCTCTCTCTTAACTCTCTCTCTTAACTCTCTCTTAACTCTCCCTTAACTCTCTCTTAACTCTCTCTTAACTCTCTCTCTTAACTCTCTCTTAACTCTCCCTTAACTCTCTCTTAACTCTCTGTTAACTCTCTCTTAACTCTCCCTTAACTCTCTCTTAACTCTCTCTTAACTCTCTCTTAACTCTCTCTTAACTCTCTCTCTTAACTCTCTCTTAACTCTTTCTTAACTCTCTCTTAACTCTCTCTCACCTCTCCCTTAACTGTCCCTTAACTCTCCATTAACTCTCTCTTAACTCTCTCTTAACTCTCTTTTACCTCTCCCTTAACTCTCCCTTAACTCTCTCTCTTAACTCTCTCTCTTAACTCTCCCTTAACTCTCTCTTAACTCTCCCTTAACTCTCCCTTAACTCTCCCTTAACTCTCCCTTAACTCTCCCTTAACTCTCTCTTAACTCTCCCTTAACTCTCCCTAAACTCTCTCTTAACTCTCTCTTAACTCTCTCTTAACTCTCCCTTAACTCTCTCTTAACTCTCTCTTAACTATCTTAACTCTCCCTTAACTCTCTCTTAACTCTCTCTTAACTCGTTTAACTCTCTCTTAACTCTCTCTCTTAACTCTCCCTTAACTCTCTCTTAACTCTCTCTTAACTCTCCCTTAACTCTCTCTTAACTCTCTCTTAACTCTCCCTTAACTCTCCCTTAACTCTCCCATAACTCTCCCTTAACTCTCTCTTAACTCTCTCTTAACTCTCTCTTAACTCTCTCTCTTAACTCTCTCTTAACTCTTTCTTAACTCTCTCTTAACTCTCTCTCACCTCTCCCTTAACTGTCCCTTAACTCTCCATTAACTCTCTCTTAACTCTCTCTTAACTCTCTCTTAACTCTCCCTTAACTCTCTCTTAACTCTCCCTTAACTCTCCCTTAACTCTCCCTTAACTCTCTCTCTTAACTCTCCCTTAACTCTCTCTTAACTCTCTCTTAACTCTCCCTTAACTCTCTCTTAACTCTCCCTTAACTCTCTCTTAACTCTCTCTCTTAACTCTCCCTTAACTCTCCCTTAACTCTCCCTTAACTCTCCCTTAACTCTCTCTTAACTCTCCCTTAACTCTCTCTTAACTCTCCCTTAACTCTCCCTTAACTCTCTCTCTTAACTCTCTCTCTTAACTCTCTCTTAACTCTCCCTTAACTCTCCCTTAACTCTCTCTTAACTCTCTCTTAACTCTCCCTTAACTCTCCCTTAACTCTCCCTTAACTCTCCCTTAACTCTCTCTTAACTCTCTCTTAACTCTCCCTTAACTCTCTCTTAACTCTCCCTTAACTCTCTCTTAACTCTCTCTTAACTCTCTCTTAACTCTCCCTTAACTCTCTCTTAACTCTCTCTTAACTCTCCCTTAACTCTCCCTTAACTCTCTCTTAACTCTCTCTTAACTCTCCCTTAACTCTCTCTTAACTCTCCCTTAACTCTCTCTTAACTCTCCCTTAACTCTCCCTTAACTCTCCCTTAACTCTCTCTTAACTCTGTCTTAACTCTCCCTTAACTCTCTCTTAACTCACTCTTAACTCTCCCTTAACTCTCCCTTAACTCTCTCTTAACTCTCCCTTAACTCTCTCTTAACTCTCTCTCTTAACTCTCCCTTAACTCTCCCTTAACTCTCCCTTAACTCTCCCTTAACTCTCCCTTAACTCTCTCTTAACTCTCCCTTAACTCTCTCTTAACTCTCCCTTAACTCTCCCTTAACTCTCTCTCTTAACTCTCTCTCTTAACTCTCTCTTAACTCTCCCTTAACTCTCCCTTAACTCTCTCTTAACTCTCCCTTAACTCTCCCTTAACTCTCCCTTAACTCTCCCTTAACTCTCTCTTAACTCTCTCTTAACTCTCCCTTAACTCTCTCTTAACTCTCCCTTAACTCTCTCTTAACTCTCTCTTAACTCTCTCTTAACTCTCCCTTAACTCTCTCTTAACTCTCTCTTAACTCTCCCTTAACTCTCCCTTAACTCTCTCTTAACTCTCTCTTAACTCTCCCTTAACTCTCTCTTAACTCTCCCTTAACTCTCTCTTAACTCTCCCTTAACTCTCCCTTAACTCTCCCTTAACTCTCTCTTAACTCTGTCTTAACTCTCCCTTAACTCTCTCTTAACTCACTCTTAACTCTCCCTTAACTCTCCCTTAACTCTTCCTTAACTCTCTCTCTCCCCCCCCAGCGGACTACGTGGAGGTGGTGGAGCCCCCCAGTGGCGGGGGGGGAGGGGCTCCGGCCCCTCCCCCCCGCCCTCTCCCCCGCGGCGCTCGCCCCCCACTGCCCACCACCCCACGGCCCCCACCCCCGCCAGCGACGACGACGCCACGCCCCCTCACTCGGCAGGGGGGCGGGGGTAGCGTGGGGGACCTCTGCGGGGGGCCGAGCCCTCCCGTGGCGAAAGCGAACCTCAACGTCGTTTCAGTCGCTGTGGGGTCACTCGCAGCGACCTCTCACGGTCAGAGCACACACAGAGACACACACAGTCACACACACAGACACACACACACAGACACACACAGTCACACACACACAGACACACACAGACACACACACAGACACACACAGACACACACACACACACACAGTCACACAGACACACACAGTCACACACAACAACAACAACAACAACAACCGCCATTCGCCACTAAGTGGCGGTGACGTCACCACGACGCTTGTGCCAGGCTATGTGCACCCTGAGGCCACGTGAAGTGTCGAACGCCCGCTGGCAGGAGGTCACGGGGCAGACCCAGGTGCCACGGGTCGACTGACTGAGATGACTGGCTGATGCACCACCTGTGCCCCCTACTGTGCCAACCTGCTGTGCTTTAGCCACCCGGCGCTCCGCTCGCTGTTGTGAGCGTCGCTCCTCCGCCCTCCGTTGTTGTTGGAGGGCGACTGCCTCCAACTGCCCAGTAGCATCCTTCACGAGCCTCCTCCACAGAGGCCGATCTTGACACCGCTGGTACCAGTCATCGGCAAGTCCACTCAGCTCCACGTCCTCCTGTACCACATCACTCCATCTCTTCTCTAGCCCGTGCCGCGCCCGCTTAGCCCCCTCAATCCGGCCAAACAAAAGCTGTTTCGGCATGCGGTGGCCGGGCATGCGGGCTACATGACCCAGCCATCGCAGCCTTGCCTGCCGGAGGAGCTCACCGATGGGACCCTGCCCAGATCTTTCAAGGATTTGTGAGCTCCTCACACAATCCAGTCTGGTTAAACCCAGGATGGATCGTAGGCAGGCCAGCCTAAATGTTTCTAACCGGCGAAGATGTTCCATTCGGGGGGTCCACGTTTCGCAAGCATAGAGAAGGGAGGGAATGACCGTGGCCGAGAAGACCTGAAGCTTAGTGCGGAGCGACAGACCAGGTAGCTTCCACACAGCGTTACGCAACCGATGAAAAGATATTGCCGCTCGACTGATTCGGAGTGAGACCTCTGCTGTTAAACTGGAGCCAGTCATAAGCACACTGCCCAGGTATGGGAAACTCTCCACACACACACACACACAGACACACACACAGACACACACACAGACACACACAGACACACACACACACAGACACACACACAGACACACACACACACACAGACACACATACACACACACAGACACACACACAGACACACACAGACACACACAGACACACACACACAGACACACACACAGACACGCAGACACACAGACACACACAGACACACACACAGACACACACACACACAGACACACACACACACAGACACACACACACAGACACACACACACAGACACAGACAACAACAACAACCACCATTCGCCACTAAGTGGCGGTGACGTCACCACGACGCTTGTGCCAGGCTATGTGCACCCTGAGGCCACGTGAAGTGTCGAACGCCCGCTGGCAGGAGGTCACGGGGCAGACCCAGGTGCCACGGGTCGACTGACTGAGATGACTGGCTGATGCACCACCTGTGCCCCCTACTGTGCCAACCTGCTGTGCTTTAGCCACCCGGCGCTCCGCTCGCTGTTGTGAACGTCGCTCCTCCGCCCTCCGTTGTTGTTGGAGGGCGACTGCCTCCAACTGCCCAGTAGCATCCTTCACGAGCCTCCTCCACAGAGGCCGATCTTGACACCGCTGGTACCAGTCATCGGCAAGTCCACTCAGCT